AACCCTCCGGTGTTTGCGTCAATTCTCTTGCCTTTGCGTTTAGAGTGTGTTTGCGAACCAAGCTTTCGAAAACCATGCGTGGGATCGGAGAGCAGCTTTAACAAAAATAACATAAGATTTTGTTTATTGATCGAATAGGTCACACCATCGCTCTAATTTAAAGCGTTTATTTTTATTGGAAACAAACGGCGACAGGACACACGCGAGTAAATATATTTTGTGGTCTTGGTTCCTGGATCCCACAACTAATACGTAAGCAACCGATAAAACATAGTACAGAAAATGTCACGTAGAGCGAATTACTTGACGGGTGATTTTGAGACAACCGTACACCTCTTATTGCGAAACATGACGATCGATCCGATGATGCGACATAAGCTATTTTTTTACATAAATTATATAAAATTTAAAAAAAGAAACACTCTAATAGACATACGTCCACAGATTTATTTCTCCAGAGCCTTTTCTCTTTTGTATACCCTGTTCCCAGCCATGGGCTTTCTTAGTTCGACATCATCTTCCTGACCAGTGGCGTATCTATAAACTTGAAATGGGGGTGCTGGTGGTGGGGGAAGGGGAGCGAAGGTGAAGTGGGGTGGGTTCGATGTTCAGTTCAGGGGTGCTAATTCGCATAATAAAGTGACTCTAATCTACTTGACCGTGATTTTTTTGTGGGGTAGGGGGGGGGGTGCGACTGGGATGGGGGGGGGCGACTGGGGTGGGTGGAAAGACGCGAGTAATTTTTGGAGGGGTGCTCCCCTGCGCACTCCTTGATACGCCACTGTTCCTGACCCGATCACTCAGTGTGTATCCCACCACAATCATTATCATATCTTCATCACCACTTTCTTAACACTAACGCACATTAAACACCATTCATTTGAAAAAAAGTACAAAGTCAGTAGGCCTAATAGACCTCTCTAGACGTGCATTTCCGAGCATCTAAGATGGAGGAGAGCCCTTGACCCCACTCAAAACTACTTCATTTTATGTTTCCCTTTTCGAAAAATCTGGATCCGTTCCTGATAATAGATAGAACAAGATAATGACCGCATACAGCCGTGATTTCAATAATATCTTTGGAATTGACTGGAATTTCGAAAGTACTACTATATAAATAGCCTAATTTAATACTTTTGTTCAAAATACGTATTGTCAAAATGGAAGATCTGTGTTTTTTCCGCTTTTATGTTTTTTCAAGACTATTTTCTATCTTCATCTCGTCCAAACCCAGAAAACTGACCCTATAAATGCTAAAAGCCACCAAGCAGGGATACGATGCACATCTTTTTACAAATGTTTTGTTTTTTGTTTTTTTTGTGTTTTATTTTTTTAGAATTCGCGAACAATCACATACAAAAATAACCAAAATAACATTAAGGAATTCTGGGATTAAAACACAATAAAGTAGCCAAACGGCCAACTTATTTCCATTGTGGTCCCTGAAGTGTTAAATCGTTTGTTTGCATTAGGCTTACAGGTACATCCTTGAGTTGACTGTATTCATTTTCGGTAAAACATAATTAAAATAAATAGAAATGTAAATACAAAATTGGGCTATAGACCTTTATGAGCGAACTAAATGACAGGTATTCTCCTAAATCAACATACATTATTCAAGGATCTTTACCTTCATAAAAAAATATAAAAAAGTAGGCCTACAAACAGACAGCCAAAATGCTGTATATATATGCATTGCAATTATTGAAAAATGTCTACCTCAGCAGAATTTACATGATTAAAAACTCATCATGGTGCGGTTTGTGTTAAGCTGATAAAATAATTGAATAATTAAGTTCAATTATTGAATTGGTGACTTTGTATATTTAAGTTACCATATTGGATTGGATTCATTCGGTGTGAAAACCAAGGATAACCCCCACGAGTTCGAAGACTTAATTCTTGTGGGGTCCTTCTGGTGGTGATTGGGCACTAACGAGAGATAATTCCCTACTCCTGGAATGAAACCAATAGAACCGAGTTCCTAATCATCTCCACGGTTCAGCACGCACACAATGTGGCTACCACCAGTTTAGCCGACTGAGCTAAGCTGCTTAAAATAACCATATTAAATAAGGCCATATAAAAAAAAAAAAAAAAGATTTGTTGATCGTCCTTTTTCTTTTTCATGCATGCCAAGTCTTCGAATCCCCAATGGAGTGCAACGCCTTATGTAAATGGTGGCTGACTTTGCCGGATTTTCAATTGTAGCGTTTGATCAGGTGGAATTTATACGAACAAACAATTGAAAGACAAAATAATTTACAAAAAAATAAAGCTAGGCCTAGCCAAAGTTGAATTATGGGCAAAAAGACAACATTTTCGTGAGTTTTGGCAAAAAAAAAAAAAAAAAAAAATTGGTCGGGTGATTTTTTTTTTTTCGTTAAGTAGGGAGAGGACGATCAACAACTCTTTTTTTTTACATGGCAACTTTAAATTAAAAATTAGAACAAGGAAATATTTTCTCGTCAATTAAGCAGCACATAAATAGCACTGTTGTTCCTAAAATATCGTTTGTATACCCCAGACCTACTTCTTTTGGATGGTAATCTGTTAATCGTATAAGTGTGGTAAAAGGTCTGTTATTCAGCAAAACCTATTTGTTCTGCAAGTTAACAGTCAATTGACAGACGACAGAACGTGAGAATAATAAAATCTGTATTATACCGTACAACGAAATATTTATCGCGATGGATAACCCCAGCTTTCATTGAGACTTTGCACACGAGACACAAAAAATCGGAGTCACTATATCGAATTATATTGATCGAGGATAGGAAAATTAAGCTTTGTTTCCATACAATCGCTACTCGGTATTGCTGATAGCTTTAGGTGATGATGCTGATTGTGGTCTGTCGAATCCGGGAGCCTTCCCGATTGTGTCGGGGATTGGTACGCAGTTTAACGACTGTTAACGACTGTACAAAAACACTGTAGAAACAAGGTAGCGAGTTTAATGAAACCAAGCGTAAGCCCTGTTTCCATAGTATCACTCACCTTATCAGCCACAGTCGCCGTCAGTTGTCGGGAAGGTTGAATCTGGTTCAACTTTGGCAGGGACGTAGCCAGGATTTTGAAAGGTGGGGAGCCGTTATGCGAGATACGTATGACCCCGGAGGGGTCCAGAGGGTCGAACCCCCGTGAAGTAGCGCACTCTGAACGTTTTAAGGACTGTTTTGAGAGGACAAAATGAAAATTGTATTAGACACATCATAAATAATATTAGTAGGCCCAGCAATAATTATAATAAATCAACAGAATCCATGAATTTGAAAGAGAGGTGTCCTAGGGAGGGATTTTCATAGACTGAGGTAAGAAAATTTATGATTAGGACACCTCTAGATGGCTGGAAATTACACTTTCATACTTAAATTTGAATATATTTTCTTTTTTTTTCCTCAAAAAACAAAAAAATTCTTATTTAAAATAGTCATAATCACGAAAAAAGGGCATGAAAAACCAGATCACATTCTAAAAACAAATTTATGCCCCCTCTCCTCAGCAGTCACAAGACATACCCTGAGTCAGGTGCCGACTCGATGCAGTTTAATGTCATACCCAGAAGGGCGCAGATCTGTTTTGTAAGGTTGAGGGGGAGGACATTTTGTTAGTCGGCACCTACCTCAGACTCAACCATGGTTAGAGCTGAGGAGCGAAAATGTGAGAAAATAGTTCCTCTAGATGGCCAAAAACAAAACTTTTAGTAAAATTCATTATCATCACATCACCGTTACCGGTAGTCCAAATGAAGCGCCAAAAAAAAAAAAAAAAAAAAAAAATCCCATGGTCTTTTTTATCAGGGGTTTTCTGCAACCAAAAAGATCATATTAATGTGTGTGATATACCATAGAAAACAAAGCTTAAAAACATTGTCTTTGAGTATGTTCTTTACATACTTCAAAACCGTGATTTCACAACCACCTCAGCCCCACCATGGTTGGCTCTAAGGTGAGAAAATTTGAGGAAATAGTACCTCTAGATGGCCGGAAATCACACTTTCACGTAGTAAAATTCATCATCATCACATCACCATTACATAGTTAAAATGAAACGCCAACAAATTTCTCATGTACTTTATCAGAGATCTACTTGATATCCAGGACAACTTGACCTAACTATAATTTAATATATAAGCTTATAACTATCATCAATAAATCACAACTTTATTTTTCGTCTTTAGCACAATTTCCTTCACATTTTAATATTATTAATATTTATTTTAATATTATTAATATATATCAATTATCATCATCATCATCATCATCATCATCATCATTATCATCATCACCATTATTATTATTATTATTATTAATATTAATAGTATAGTATTATTAAACAATAGGCCCTACTTTGAAGAAGCTTGCAAAAGGATAAAACCAAACTGAACCATACAGTATCACATTTCTGTATCTTAAAAACTTGGCCTGGGATTTATGGATTTCTAAAAATCACATGTGTTATAATTATAGTAGGCCAGGCCTGTGTAAAACGAGTACTGATGTATTTTTATGTATTTTAGAAGTATTCATTTTGAGTGGTCCCATGAAATAATTTGTATTGGCTCAAAAAAAAAGCTTTAAAAGGGGGGAGCCGCGGCTCCCACGGCTTCCCCTGGATACGTCCTGAACTTTGGCCGATTGCGTTGCAAGCGAATCGGGGTGCCTTCCCGATTGCGCAGCATGGTAGCTAGCAATGCATTCGTCTGCACCTGCAACGCGATCGGCAAAGTTGAACCAGGTTCAACCTTGAGGCTTCCCGTCAACTGTCGGCGACTGTCGCCGATAGGGTGAGCGATTCTATGGAAATCGACCTTTACGTGCAAATGAGAGTGATGACGTCACGACTGACTTATAATATTAATTTGTTGAATTCTTTAGCAGGACTTTCAAGATTTATTGACCAGCAGTAGGCCGATATTGAATAATAAAAATAGTGATCATTAATGATAAATATTTTAGAATCATAATAATTGTAATACCTATGGTCTATTTCTTTGACAGACATGTCATCATTTAATACTTCTTACGTTTATACCGACGACGTATTTGACGACATTCGAGGAATCATACACCCGCAACCATTCGAGTGGGTCATCGTCTCAACATACGTTGTCATATTCCTGTTCTCGTTGATCGGCAACAGTTTAGTATGCCTTACTGTTTTGCAGAACGAACATATGCGCACGGTGACAAACATGTACATTGTGAACCTAAGTATAGCCGATATTCTCGTCACTATTGTTTGTATACCTATGACCGTTACACATGAAATCAGTCAAACGTGGTTCTTTGGACCTACCGCCTGCAAACTTATTTACTACTTTCAGGTAAGTTCTATTTATGCTCTTTGGTTATTCTAAAAATGAAAATGCATCTGCATTTGTCGTTTTATTTTCTCATACTTTCATCACATTTTACACGTTATATCTTTTCTTTTTATTGGCTTTTCCGGTATTAGCGGAAAGCCATTGTTTTTCTGAATTTTCTTTCTTGTTTTGTTCTGAATTTTAGCATTTTCTATGTTAGCAGCATGCAGTGACCTCCACGGGGTTAAGGTTCTTTATTGTAATGGTGGTATAAGAACTCTAAACATCACATTCGTTATTACTACTTCGAGTCTCACTGACGTCGGCTTGGTTGTCATGTTTAATTCTTTTTAATTATAATATTCTTTAATATGATTTTATTTTTGTTTTTCAAGTATTTTTTTACTGTATATTTTTTTAATTGGTTTGTAATTTCAACATCACTTCTCATTATGGCAATCAGGAAAATCCCTATATTCTGTTTTACAAACTAACATAGTGAATTCTTTCTTCTTCTCTCATTTTCATATATTTTTGCTACATGATTTTTCTATCCGGCACTTTGGTCGGTGTCACATTCTGTGCTTGGATCCTTGAAATTTATCCAAGCAAAGACCATCAAAAATGTGCATATTTAAAAATAACGTTATTCTACATATTTTAAATATAAGTAAATTTGTCATTGAAATTTTATGTTAACGCAATTTGCGTTTTCTAAAGCGTTTCAAATCTATATTTGAAAATATATCTCTTTTTTTCAGTTGATACCGTACTGACGAATAAGAGTATAGAAATGGAAAAAGTGTAATACACATCGTTTTTAAACTCGTTAATACAATATAATTTCTTTCTTGCAGATTGTTTTCATCGGGGTTTCCATCTTCACGCTGACATTCATTGCACTGGACCGCTATCTTGCTATATGTTGCCCTTTTAAGTACAAGATCAATCGTTGTAGGACTGTGGTACTAATCGCAATTGCCTGGTTGTTGAGCTTCATCATTGCCTTGCCACTATATTTTGTTCAGACATATGAAGAACATTTTTTAAAAGAACACCACAATAAAGAGTTGCTATCGAAGTGTCAAGAGGTAGAACTATTATTTTTTTATTAATAGCATAATTATTAATCAATAATAACAATAATCAATAATTTTGTATATTAAAGTGTCGGTACAGTTATTGGCAGTTTCACAGTTGTTGAAACTAGAGAATCTTAGGCTTCCATTCCACGTGATTACTTAGCCTGTGGTAATTGATTGATTAATTCATTGGTTGATTGATTGATTGATTAATTAATTGATTGATTGGTGGATTGGTCAGTCAATCCATAAATCCGTCCATCTAACCATCCATCTCATCGTGTGTTTGTTGGTCCATTCATTCTCTCATTTTTGCGTTCGATTTTTATTTCATTTATTAATCTATTCATTTACGCATTTATTCATCATTCATTCGTTTGTTCGTTCGCCCAATCATTCATTAAATCAACCAGTCATTAATCATCAATTCATTTATTTATTTACTCACTCAATTCATTCATTTATTTATTCATTCATTCATTCAATCAAACTATAATCAATCCAGGGGCGGATCTGGGTTCAAATTTTTTTTGGCAGGTGGGGGTCAAACTGTTTAACAAAAAAAACCCCAAAAAAGGGTGGGGGGTTGGGGTCCTCCCACGAAAAATTTTGATCCCTAGATGGAGGGAAATGAGCTTTCCCGACTGTTCTAATTTTCCCATTGTTACAAAAAAAAAATGTCAGCTTACGGGTCCTGAAAAGTTAGGTCTAGAATTTGTTTTTGCTTGGTAGCTCAGGGGAGGTGGGGTGGGGGTCAGGACTCCTAGAGCCCCCCCCCCTCCTCTCAGATCCGCCAATGATTTATCATTCATTCGTTCATTCATTCATTCCATTCATTCATTCATTCATTCATTATATTCTCAATCAATAAAACATAATTCAACCGCACACTGATTCCATTCATGTTGCGGCGAACAGTTTTCTATTCGTAAAAAATAAAACCAAAATAGTACGTTTCTTATATTGTACATACATCATTATTATCGTTTATAAATAGAACTGGGGGAACGAAACCGTTCAGCGTTTGTATCACGTGGGACTGGCGATGGCGCTGTACGTCATTCCATTGACAGTCATCAGTCTAGCATATACCAAGGTATGCTCTACACTCTGGTCAGGAATTCCCACGGAGGAGAAGACTTGCGGCAAAGTGTAAGTTTGACTGATAGTAATGATAATGATGATGATGATGATGATGATGATGATGATGATGATGATGATGATGATGGTGATGATAATAATTAGGCATATGTTAATTATAATAAATGGTGATTATAAAGAAATATTGATAATTATGAAGATCATGAGGGTGATAATAATAATAATAATATAATAATAATAATAATAATAATAATAATAATAATAATAATAATAATAATAATAATAATAATAATATCTTCTTACAACTCTGTTTATCACAACATGGTTGTAGAATGAGATATACGTACATATAGGAGTATGTTTTCCATAAAGGCAAATTCGTTTTGCAAGGAAATTAAGATTGAATGAAATATCCGAAAGGAAGATAGCCACACAATGAAGCGGAAACGAATAGATGAAAATTAGCTGTGCTGTATGTAACGAATACTTCACAAATTGGAGGCTACTTCCTACGAGATTTATCATTTTATATATTTGACCATTCGGCCATTCATTAAATGTATCTCGTATTCACTTTTGGGACTGAAGGGACTGTCCCGTTTTTTGTTTTTTTTTTTTGTTTTTTTTTTTAATAGAACAAAAATGTCCATTACTTTCCACATTAGGTAAAATTTACGTGTAGATGATGAATTGATTTTTAAGATCCACATCGTTCAGTTTATACGGATAAAAGTGTTCATTCTTCATTAGTTAGATTTTTCATTAAAAATGTGCTGTCCAAATATTCAAAATAGGTCCATGTTCTTTCGTTTGTCCAGGTTAAATGGGTCCACTTTATAAAATACGGGTCTACGTTAGTTAGATTTATAGGAAAAATTGGTCCTTATGTTTTAAACGTGTGCGGTACACATTAGGTCTATCTAGTTTAAGAAATGGGCCCACTTTATAAAAATATGCGTCCATATTAATTAGAATTTACTTGCAAACATGGGACAACATTTTTAAATGGCTCATATCAATTAAACAACTGTGAAATAGTCCTCATTGATACTTGAATGTTGCCCTCTCTTGCAAGAGTACGTTTGGCTTTCATCGATTGGATTGGATTGGATTTATTCGGTGTAAGCACCAAGAATAGCCCACGAATGTCTAGAAAAAGACTTATTTCAATTGGAGTTCTTCTGGTGGTGATTGGGCAGCACACCGGGAGACAATCCCCTACTATTTTCCAAAGAGTGAACTGCTTTATTTGACATGCACATGGGCCATTAATGCACACAAGACCAACAGCTTAAACGTCTCATCCGAAAGACGGTGCGCTATTGTAACTTGTATTTCAGCCCTCTAGCTGAAACACAATGAGAGCAGTAATGGAAATTTAACCGGGGACCTAGAGATCTCCACATTTCAGGGCACACACAGTGGCTACCACCAGATTAGCCGACTGAGCTAAGCTGCTTCCTCTCCCACTGCTTAATGGTCATAGTTAGATGTTATGCATAAAATAAAATGTCATTTAAAAAAATTGTCTACACTATTTAGTTTATACGTATGAAATGTGTCCACTATTAAAAGGTGGGTCCACATTAGTTAAAGTTTATGCTTCAAATGTGTTCACAATATTTATTACTATAATAATTAAAATTTTATAAATTAAATTAATTATTATTATCATTATTATTATTATTATTATTATCATCATCATAATCGTTACAGTAATTTCAAGGTTTGTAATTAAGTTAGTTACCGGAATCTGTTCACAGGCTTGCCTTCTTGGTTTCGGCAATTGTTATTTGAACAAATGAAATAAATAAATAAATTTGATATTTGAATAAAAAGTGGGTTTATACTTGGTTTGTCCCACCCTGTTTAAAAATGTTGGCTTCGCCATTGCTCGTTATTTCGTCATGGTGCTTGCGTAGTTCATTAATTCAACATGACACTGTCAGAAACAGTAGGCCCGGTCCCCCTAAATTTGTCAATTTAAAAAAAAAATGGAGATAAAAAGAAACTGATGTTTAAATTTGCCATGATCATAAATTTTCTTCCATTGAAAGTCACTCCCTGGGCCGTGCCTATTTCAAATTCCTGGATTCGCCACTGATATATCACTTAAGTTGTCGTTAAAATCATTAATTGGAATGCAATGACAAACGTAATTAAAAACCGAGCATCATTATCTAAAATTTCACAAAGAATTGGCGACCGGGTCCTAAAAATGGCCTTCAGTTTTAGAATGCCACAGGGTTCCCGGCCCCAGCGTTTCACGATTGCAACTACTGTACATGGATAGGTATAAGATAGATGCATAAGTTTTTATTTTCAGACAGTCATCTTTGTCTTGCAATCAAGTTTCCTAACTTTGTTTATATTTCACCTGCCTCTTACAGGCCAGATAAGAAGGTACGGTCGTCTTCAACAAGTGCGGCCCAAACACAAACTGAGAATCGAAAGAAGGTAGCGCGAATGCTGATTGTTGTGGTTGTTCTTTTTGCATTGTGTTATTTTATGACACATTTACTCAACCTCCTGAGGTAAAAGAAATTGACAATTTTAAAAATGTTTATAAAATTTGAAAGGAAAATACCCCGATTGAACACATGATTATGATTATCCCGTTTGCAAAGTGATATTTTATGGATGATAAAGAAATGACATAAAAAACAGAAATCGAGTTGATGAATGACATAATTTAATGAGGAATGTAAAAGTGTAAAAGAAAATTATGTGGGCAAGCCCATATCCAGAGGAAGGCAAAGATGCGATGAAGTGAGTGAGTCGGGGTTTTAAAAAGTCAAAATAATGCACGGTTTGTTTTTAGTTTTATGAATGATTGTAAAAAGATTTTTTTAAAATAATTCCACGCTTCTTTTTTATCTTAATCATAGTGTGTTCGGCTTTTTCGATAAATACACTAAACATAATGATGACAATAAAATGGTACCCTGGTTCATGGTTTCCCATTGGTTTGTATACTTCAACAGCGCTGTTAATCCTATCATCTATAATTTTCTAAGCGGTAAGTTATTTTGGCTTATTAAGTTCTAGAAATAGTTAACATTCTTGAATGATGTTATTATTACGTATAAGAGTACTTTAAATAAGTCAGTCCACTCCTGTGCGCATTTCATCGCCGTTGAAGCTGCAGGTCATAGGTTATTTCCTACCTTTACCTTTACTTAAATAACGCTTAAAAAGAAAGACGCTTCGACTCCATCACAGAACGTTATTTTCTTTGAAGTAGCTATTATTATTGTTATGATTAATTATATTACTATTATAATTATTACTGAATAAAATATGCCTATATGAAATATCGTGATCTCTTACATTTCTGTTCTGCTTGGGTAGTGCTCGAAAAATAAGCTATTAAAATGTTGATGTTATCATTCATAGTAGAATTAGCAGTATTTTAATTTGTGAATGTCTTATCATAAATAATGCTCCCTTTTCCTTACTCACATAATCTGAATTTAATAATATGCTGGAGAAAATATAGTATAAATTATTGCGTAATATATAATCTTAAAAAACAAAACAGCAACTACAACCGAAAGAATAACAAATATTGAAAGATGGACAATCCATTAAAAAAATATTTCATGTATTATTTATACGTTTATTTTATAGGCAAGTAAACAATTCTCTCGTTTAAATAATATTTATAGAATAAAGAATCAAGCATGAGATAATCCTTTCATGATCCTACTAGAGATCTCCTTTATCGTGGTCTAATCCCGCATATCCCACGTAGTTATGCAGACGGAGCACCAAAGTGGCAAAAAAATTATTTACAATGCGATTTTTGTTGGAAACTGTTGATATCGACCTGGAATACCACCAAAAAAAAGTTGGATGGATTTCGGCCATGGGAAAAATTTTTATGACCTTTTACCTAAAAAGGGTAATTCTATATATAGTAACAAGGTGGTGGGGGTAGAATAGATAGCCGTATCTTATCCTAAACCCGTAATACATGTATTTTTAAGTATAAAATATCATTGTTCAGTACCACTACATTCTTTTTTATCAAGGGTTACGCAAACATATCATTAATAATGTCAGAACGGTCAAAGGTCATTGCAACAAGTTGGCCCATACCTTAAAAAAGCAGTGGATTATGTACATTCCTTTTGAAGTTCATGCTTTTTTCTCTAAACAAAGTGTCTTATGGCTCATTAAATCTTAAATTTTTATAATAATTTCAAACTGGCGTCCAAAGATGGCCGACATACATTTTGCATAGCTATTTCAGTAACAAGTGGCACTTGCTTAGGATTTGCAGTGGAAATTTCTTATTTTCTGGGTCATAATATACCATGTAATAAAAGAAATGTAAATTGAGTTTAAGGAATATATAAACAAATATTGAATTTAAAATGAAAATATGTAATAATAAGCAAGGTACTGTACATGTCATTGCTGAAGAACCACAGATTCTTCTGGACGCTTAAACCACCATTCCATTGTGGTCATGTTGTGCTGACGTTCGCCATGTCGCCATGTTTGTGGAATGCACGGGCTCGAGTCTTACATATGTATATATACATATATATATACATATGTATGTATATATATGTATATATATATATATATATATATATATATATATATATATATCATTAAAAAGTGCCTCTTGAAGTTACATAAGCACCCCACAATTTTCATCTATTTCTATAGGCGCCCCCTAAATTTCCACTCTGTTTTCATAAGCGCACCGTTTGAATAAGTGCCCCTCAAAAAGTGCAAAAAAATATTTTTAGCGCCCGAGTGCTTATTCGCCCGAGTATATTAAATAATAATCACCAAAAATCACATTTGTTTGGTGATTGCGCACCCCTACCACTATCAGCACCCCCACTTCTAGATACGCCACTGTGTATGAACCCGTACACCGGAATAACCCACTACTAGTCTCGAAAGATGTACTGGGTTCTTTAAAGTGCATATGAGCTAATTACATGCACTAAACCTACGGTTTCCTTATTCCGAGAAGACTTGTTCTACCACCAGAACCATAGGCGAGCGCCGATATTATTATGGCTGTAGGTAGCGCGCTGCTGCCTTAACCGCTCATCCTGTCTCTTATACACATCTAGATGTGTATAAGAGACAGCTCTAGCTGAAAGACAAGGAAAGCGCGCACACAGTGGCTACCACCAGTTTAGCCGACTGAGCTCAGCTGCTCCCTCATTATTTGTTCCTTCCCTGAAGATACCAGGTTATTCATTAATAGACCTAATTATTTAGTTTGTTATTGATTATTAGCTGCTCTCTCATTATTCGTACCTTCCCTGAAGATACCAGGTTATTCATTAATAGACCTAATTATTTAGTTTGTTATTGATCATTAATTGTAGAAATTGTGTAGCACTTTCGTGCTAAATCGTTCACCTCCTACCAGCTTTCATATAGGCCATATTAATACGTTATTCTGAAAATAATATATATATATTTTTTTGCAGATTATTACTCATTTAGGAGCAAAGATGACGGAGCCTGGTTCATTGAAGCATTGGAATTCGTTTTAAAAACATATGCAACCGACAACTTTGAAATCCAACAATTGCTCACAAGAGTTTGTCACATCGTAGCGTATGAATACGAGTCGCGAACTGGCCGTAAAGCGACAACAGGCAAGAAGCAAGTTCCATATATCGTATCAACACTTACGAAAGATTTGTATTTAAGGAATAGGCCTAGTCCGTTGAAATAAGTTTTTACCGTCTTCATGGAAATCTAATTCTGAACGTGAAACTAACACAGTATATTCAACTATGTGCTTGAAAGAATTACTTAGTTGAAAAACAATGCACTTTCAAAGCTTAACAAGCTATTTTTATG